GGTCTCCGCGGCGGCGGGGGGGGGACGCAGGCGGCCTCCTCGCGTTAACCCCGGCGCTGCAGCTGGAGGGCCCCACCCAGCGCCGCCCGCCGCCCAGCTAGACCGAGATTTGGGGGGACGGCCTAGAGTGAGGTGGCAGGAGGACGGTGCAGGGCGTGTCCGGGGAAGCAGGGACCGGAGACGGGGCTCTGCTCGGGCTTGGTGAGGAGTTGCTGCCCGAGTGCTGCCGGCAAGGGAGACCCAGGGTCCAGACATGCCCGGCCTCGGGCAAGCCGAGAGGTGCGGCCCTGCGCAAGTCACTTCACCTTTCTCCGGCTCGGTTCCCTCGTCGGGATTTCAAAAAACGAAAACCAAAAAACCCAAAAAGCAGTAACCCTCTGACTTCCTCATTTTCCGTAGCTGTCCCTGGGACGTCATTGAACTGCAGGCGGGATAGTTACCACTTGCCAAAGGGGAGTCCTTTGGAGTCCAGAGGTTTTCGATTTTATTCTATATTCTGGGAGTAACGTTCAGTTTTTAGGATAATTTTACTCATCAGCAGTTATATGTAACGTATTGTGTCACGTTTGTGAAATTAAAGGGAAGAGCAGGCCCTTCCTTCAAAGAACGTGTTAATCAGAGACATACAGGTGTACAGCCCAATGATAATAAGGTATAATAAAGATAAAAAGATGCGCGAACTAATTCGGCATAAATAGTATTGTGGGTGAGGAGAACGGGCTTGAGGAAGAAAGGGAGCCTGGGGTAGGGACATTTGAACAGAGCCCTGAAGGATGCTGTGTCAGTTTTGATAGGGCAGGGTGGGGCAAGAGGTGACTGAAGAGGGAAGAACGTGAACTAGAGTATTGAACAGAAGAAAGGCACTGTGTGTTGGAGACTGACTGGTGTGGAGTGCACAGTGGTGGGAAGAGGGAGAGGGGGCATTGTTTCCAAAAGCAGTTGTGTTTAAATTGGGAAAGGCCTTGAATGCCATCCCAGGAGTTAGGAATTTATTCCATACCTCGGGTGCCTGTGCAGGAGGTAGATTGCTTCAAGGTTAAACTCCAGGGCTTTTGAGATAGACTTCCTGGATTTGAATCCGAGCCCCACCACTTAGCCTGAGGCTAAGGTCACACAGCTTCAATTTCCTCATCTGTGAAATGGGAGCAGTAATAGCATGGTTGTTGTGGGGCTTCAATGAGAGAATGCATGTAAAATGCTTAGCACAATCACTGTCATAGTTCTTAATGACTGCTGGCTTTGGTTATTAATAAAAGAGGGAAACAACATGATCAGCTATATTTAGAGTCTGGCAGATTGACTAGGACTGGTTCGGGCCAGAATCTCAAGTCATTATTTTTTAAGTATGTTAAAATAATGTGTGTACTTTTTAAAAAAGGGTAAGATCAGTATAGTTGAAACCCCATAGTTCTCGTTTTGGGAAAGTTGTAGTATACCTGGCTTTCGCCGCATCCACAGGTTACCCTGACTATAAGTGACACAGGAATTGATGCTGTGGCACTCTTTTATTGTTTAGAAAGGTTACAGATTCTTCTGTTTATATTCTTTCTTTCATGTTTTAGCTGTCCTGGATAATGAGAGACTCACTGCAGAGGAGATGGATGAAAGAAGACGTCAGAATGTGGCCTACGAATACCTTTGTCATTTGGAAGAAGCAAAGAGGTAAAGGTGGCTTGCTTGAGAGAAAATCGGGAGAAGGGAGCTGATACGGCATGAATACAGATAAAGATCTCTTTGAGTGTGTTGTAGATGTGACTGAGGGATGCTGGTAGTTTGAAGGAATAAGTAGAGGTAGAGTATTTATTCGTGGGAGCAAATAGCCTTGATGGCAGTTTATCATAAAACACTGATGGACATTTCTGTATACTGAAAAATGTCATGATTTGTTCAGTTTTATGCTTTGGTATATGTTTGGGGCACTACCAGCTGTCAGGGAGAAATAGCATTTTTAAGGTTTGAAGTTCTTGGCTTTAATGTTTCACTGATTCTTCACTGGTTTTGATTTATATATAAATTGGGTTCCTTCTCCCTTTGGTAGTACTCTGGGTATCGGTCCATCCATTTTGCAACATTCCAAGACAGCTTACCAAAGGCATCATCCTCTGTGTTCTTTGTGAAACGAATGTACAGCTGTTTTCCTTTTTTAAGAAGCTCCGAGACCTTGTGCCTATTCTTAGAGTGTCGATTTGCTATTAGTGGTTCATTTCTTTTGTTCTGCTGCTGTTTTCCTTTTGCAATGTCACAGGGTAAATAGATATAATTACATATCATATATCCTATAAGTGAGCTTCAGTGGAAAAAGGCCAGCAAGGGATAATGAAAGGTATTTGTGATCATAGTTTAAGGAAAATCAAGGCTGTTTCAAATGTTAATAAACAAGAGGTATTTGGTTTTGTTTTGTTTTTTTAAAATCTGAAAATATTAAAACTCTGCAGGAAAGTCCGAAGGACAATATAACAAACATCCATGTTTTCCAGAACTAACAAATGTTACCCCTTCAGATCTTTCAAAGGACACAGTGGGAGTCCCCTTTGTGTCCCTCCTGGGTTCCATTCTCCTTCTTTCTGTCCCTGGGGCTACCGCGAACATGCATTCGGTTTGTTCTCTTGAATCTAGGCTTCTTTTCTGATCTTGTAGCCCTTCCAGGAGACTGGGGAAGGGGTGGAGTGGAATTAGTGATGATTTAGATGGGGAGAATGATAATAAATCTAGTTTTTCTAAATGGAAAGTTAGACAGTAGAAGACGAATATGTTATTGGAAAAGGAATGGTTCTCATACAGAATTTGTAAGGGCCCTGTGAACAAAAATATGAAGTCCTCTGCTGCTCTGATTGTAGACTAGATCTAGTTTTGGAAGGTCAAAGAATTTGAAAACTGCAGCCGATCTGAGAAGTTTGCGCTCTGTGAAGCCTGAGTGTCTGTTGAGGTGACCTGAAAATGAGCGGGAAGACCCTTACCTCACCTTCCTCCCCCCATCCAAAGCAGTTCTGTTTTTATTTTAGTGTTGGGTTTCTGCAGTAAGATTCCCTTGTTACAGTGTCTTGGCTAACACCCCCTTGCTACCACTAATCTCATTCAGCCATCTCATTTCAATGAAGAAACTGAGGCCAGAGTTTTCATAGTCTACTTGTAGTTTTGATTGAAGAATAATTTTCATCATTTTATAGAGTGGTTCTTAACCAGGTATTAGAATCACTTAGGGAACTTCAAAAAAAATACAGATATTTGGGCCTTATCACAGAGATTCTGGTTCAATAGATCTGGGCTGGAAGGTCCAGAAAGCTGTATATTTTAAATGCTTCTAGTCATTCTGATGGTCTCCCCTAGTTGTAAAACAAGATTTAAAACATTTTTAGAACTCTTCCTTATGCTGGGATATGGTAGCCTGAGAAGAATGATGCTCGCATTACATTTCCTTCCTCAGGTGTTACACTAGCAAAGCATTTCATTTGCACCTAATCCAGAGCATGTTCTTTTCTGTCAGGTGTTTTTTCCAGTAGGAAAGTAGCCCATTTCCTTTAAAACCCATCCAGGGAGGCAATGATCTCCTGGGGTGTTTTTTAGTTGGATGTTTTTGCATACTTAGGAGGTGACTACAGCAGTGAGACATTTGCGATAGTCTTTATTTTTTATGCTTTGGTTCTAAGGGAGGGCATAATAGTGGCATATTTGCTCCAGTGTGCTCTGTCTGTTGGCCTAGCATTGTGGAAAATGTGCCTGTTTTATTTTATAGAAGCAATCATAGAAAATCTGGACGCCGTGATTTTATTTGTTATTATTGAGAGTTTTGATTACAAAATCAACTTCGGAAGACCTAGTTTGAGAGGGTTAGGAAAAGAAGCAGGGGAGTGTCATGCTGAGAAAAGAGGACTAGACCCCTACCAGCCAGTGTTGTGGCTGCTGCCACCCCTAAAAAAGTATTCGAGGTGCACCTCAAGACGGATTGCATGCTTTTCCTTATTAGCTTGGGGCTTCAGCCCTGGAGAGCTGGGCTGTACTTTCTGTGCTGCTGGGACCCCTCTTTCTCCTCTGACACAAGCCCACTTTGCCTTTCTGTATTGGCTTCATAACCTCCACCCCTCCCAAAGTTGGAGGAGCCCCAAGGTCTGGAGTTTACACCGGCTCCAAGTCCAGGAAGAAAGATCAGAGAGATCCAAGGGAAAGGTTTCCCTCTTTAGTTCTATTTATAAGACTGCTACTCCTCCCACTGAAAGCTCCACCTTGTAGTACAGTGGCCCATTGTGTGTCCCAGGGCACTCCGTTTTCTCCTGTACCTGTAACAGAACTCTTTAGTGGGAAGAGAGGAGAGTGTGCAGAGGGTGAATATGGATGTGTGGAGACTGCGTGTAAGTGAGAGTGTGGATAGTGAAGTGAGAGTGTGTTGTGGGTGTGGGTTTGTGTTTCCCCAAAGGGTTAAGTGGGAAAATTTAGGACTGATTCCATAAAACTGTACACTGGGAGTGGTTGGGAAATAAAAAATATAGAGTTTCTGCTTTTCTGTATTGTATGGAGAGTAGCTTCAATGGAGAGATTAAGTTATTGTTCTAATAAAATGTCACCTAAGGATTGAGGGCTGTTTGCTAAGGGCTGCAGAGCAGATCAAGGATTTTATCAAGGGAGACATCTTAACTTAATATATTTATGCTTAAACTTGGGTTTATTTTTTATCCTTTTACCTGTTCTGATTGGGCTTTACATTTACTTTGGCTAAGGACTAGTTGCATAGTAGAGATAATTAGCATTTTCACTCAAGTGAAAGAGGTGAGATTTAAATATGTGAGGTATGCTAGGTGTTCAGGTCTTGTATAGGAGGAAGTAATAGGTCAGAGGTTAAGGTGAAAAAAAAAAAAGAAGAGAACATATCAGGCAGGACAGAACAGGACAGCCTAAAGGTGTGGAGAACGTGTGAGTAGTCCTGGAAACAGGATAAAATTCAGTTAAGTCACAGGAAGAAAGTTAATTCCGGTTACTGCCAGCACCCCTCCAGTTTGATTTGGGAGTCCCTCCTCCAGAGGCTTGCTGTTGTGCCCTTTTGAGCCTACATGTGCCACCTTCCCCCTGCTCAGTGTCTGTACCCCAGCTCAGGGGAGAGTGCACACCCCCCTTACAGAAGGGAAAGTAAGGGCTGTGGCTGGTTGGAAACTGTCAGAAACTACGCTGCGTTAACAAGAGCTTAGCACTAAACGGAGGTACTTTACCTTCTGTAATTTAAAGGAGTTGAAAAAGTATCTTGGAAAGAAATCAGGTCTTGAGAACGAATTTTCTTTTGTGCATATGTCTTTGTTGTTGGCATCGAGTATTTTCCAGGACAGGCTCTTCAGACGTTCTCTCTTCCAAGTGGGATCAGAATTTCAGTAACATCTGGATAGATTCAGGCTGGCACACTGTGGTCCTGAAAACAGAAGTTAAAGACATTGAAGAGGCAAGGAAATAAAATAGATAGGTGAGGTGACTGGGAAGAAGAGCTTGCGCCCCCGCAGCTTCTAAAATTCTCTAATGGAGGAAAAGCACTAAAGATTGAGGGGGATCATTTATAGAAGGTTGACTCAAGTTCTCCTTTTACAGATGAGAAGACTAGTTTAATTGCCTCAGGAGGGCCAGTGTGAGTAAGGGACCACATAGCACGTGGCTATTTAGTGGCACATTGGGACAACCAGCTGGGTTCATTCATGTATTCATAGTTATCAAGGGAGGAAGTAATGGTGACGTAGATGAAAACCTGTATTCTCCTTTCTGAAAATTAACCTTAGTGCAACTGACTTGGACAGACTCCTTGGTGAGAAGTAGATAGCATTTAAAAAAGTGTATTTGTTATAAAGTGGTTCAAATTAAGAGTACTTTTCGCATAGTAACAAAGTTACACCTGGAAGGAGGTTATTTTCTAGTGTGGCCAGCAAAAGCTTTCTGCCCAACTGCCTAGCTGAGACACTTAGCAAAATTTACAATTATGAAATGTGGAGAGTAATCTGGTAGATATTTGGCAGTCAACTAGTTTATAGCTATCGTTATTACTAAGAAAAATCATACGGCTATAATCTTATAATAATTATAATTAAGTAAAACAGGACTTGAAAAAGTCTGATTAAAACGTCTTTGAAAATCTTGACTGTTGAGATATGCAAAGTGAAAAAAGGAAGACTTTCGGTTTTGGCAGGTGTTGAGTTCCGAGTCTGGTTTTGCAAGTTGATTGACCTTAGGGAGTGAGCCTAAGTTTGTACTTTGCAGAATGGATATACCATGTGTCTCGAGCCGTTGCGTGGGTTAAGTGCCTGGCATAGAGTCTGAACTACAGTAGGCATTTCAGTAAATGTATTCTTTATCCCGGTCCATGGAGCAAAAGCCGATTCACTATGAAGATGCTGCGGTGCTAATAAACTTTTCTGGGGAATTTTTTTGGGCACTTTCAAGGTTCTAAAGATTCGTAGCTCTAGTTTTTTCACTTCAGACTTAAGTTTTTGTCTTAAAAAGGACGCATCAGAAACAGGCTACCTCTAGGGAGTGGAATTGGTGTGGATGGTGTTAGGGGACTGTTCTTTTTATTTAATGCCCTTCTGTATATTTGAACTGCTTTTTACAATGATCTTGAGTTTTACAATAAAGAAAAAGGGGTTGGTGAACACACAATGCAATATACAGATGGTGTATTATCGAATTATATACTT